TGTTTTGATTTGTTTTTGAAGTGGTGGCGGGACTAAACCCGTTTTACACAAGTATGACTGATTTGAAGTGAAATGTTTTGTGCTTTTCATGAAATTGAGCATGCCTACTTGAAATTTAAGTGACTGTCTTGATGATTTGAAAGTGATTGTGAATCGTGATTTTTCTGTTAACTTCTGCTTGTTTTGTCTCCGATATGGTCATGTTATTCGTGTGCCCGCTAGTGGGAGGTTTATAAACGCTAGCACATGTCGACATGTTACTGATAGAACCGGTTCGTTTTTGTAACCCTACTAGTGGGGGTTAAACACTAGTAATTTCTGTAGCCTATCAGTGGGAGGTTTATAACACTGGCCGTGACCTATAGAGGAGACGTCTATTTCGTTCCCGTACTGTATCCGTTTTGCGTGATTGCACATGTGGCATGCTATAAGTTTAAATAAGGGGCACTCCATATTTACTTACTAAGTTTATCTCATAGTTTTCCTTGTCCACCATTTCAGGAAATGAAACCGAGGACGGGGAAACCACAAGAAGTGATGAGTTAGAAAGCTAGCCATTTCGAGATTGATATAGATTTTTAGATATGAATCATGATCTTGTATTTGAAGATTTTATGTTATCGGAGTAAATTTTAAAGATTTGATCTTCAGATTTTGATGGTATCAGAGTGTGATATGATAAGTTCCGAGCCTTGTGCATTTGTGGGACCCGTCTCACGAGTGCACGGCGTCTGTCGCGTCTCGAAATTGGGTTTTGGGGCGTGACAATAGGAAAGGGGTAGGCTATGCTGGGATACCCTTGACCTCAGGCACAATAAACATGATCTCGAGTGGTATACACTTTGGAGGCCAAAGCGCTCGAGGCCGTAAAGCGTATGCCCGACAGGTGATGATCGTCAACAAGAACAAACCTTTGAAACGACCATTCGAGGAGGCAGAGTGGGAGAATGTGCCTATTACATTCAGCCCGGCAGATTACAAGCAAGCAGAAGGAGAGCCAGACGTTATGATGCCCCATGCAGATCCTTTCGTGGCAACGGTTTATATAGGCAATCATAACGTCAACAAGGTGTTTATCGATACTAGTAGCTCGCTAGATATCTTATACTGGAGTTGTTTCCAAAAGATGAAACTGAATCCGAGCTCGCTGCAGAAGTATGAGGGGCCCGTATATGGTTTTGACAACCAGCCCGTCCCGGTTGAGGGAGTTATGACCCTTTCCATATATGTGGGCTCAGAACCACGCTTTAGGATGGCTTCTGTCAACTTTCTGGTTGTCAAGATGGAATCAGCTTGTAACGCTATATTAGGAAGAGCTACCCTGTACGAGCTGAAGGCTGTTATTTCACAACCTCATCTCTGTATGAAATTCCCAACTCCCCAGGGGGTAGGAATACTAAAAGGAAATTAGAAAATAGCCAAAGCTTGTTATCAAGATACATTTAAGAAGGTTGAGCTCGTTGTAGCCCTAAGAGACTCTTTTGGAGGTAATAGGTCGACTCAGCCTGATCAACAGACAATGAGCATATCAAACATTGAGCATCGACCTGTAGGTGTCGAACAGAAAGCAGAGCCAGTAGAAACAGTCCTTTTAAACCCTGATGTGCCAAAAAGAACAGTCAAGATTGGCACCAAGCTCACAGAAGAAGAACGAGCAGAGCTTCTGGAGTTTTTGAGGGTTAATCAAGACGTGTTTGCGTGGATTACAGATGAAATGCTTGGCATCCCAACAGAGTTGACAGTCCACAAACTCAGTATGGACCCCACCAAGAGACTGGTGTTGCAGAAACGTCGCCTTTTTGGCCTTGAGAAGTAGGTCGCTATAGATGAAGAGATACAAAAACTACTACAGGCAGGCTTCATCAGGAGGGTTGAATATTCGGAGTGGGTGTCCAACCCTTTGCTCGTCAAAAAACAGAACGGCAAGTGGAGAATGTATATTGAATTCACCAACTTAAATGAGGCGTGTCCAAAAGACCCTCATCCCTTGCCAAATGTGGAGAAGCTGGTCGAGCGGGCAGTTGGGCACAAGCGGATGAGCTTTCTTGACGCTAGCTCAAGGTACCACCAGGTGCAGTTGTTGCTGGATGACCAAGAGAAAACAGCTTTTTATGTTGGTGATGCAATTTCTTCTATGTCATGATACCTTTTAGCTTAAAAAACGTTGGTGCTACATATCAAAAGCTGGTGCAAATCATTTTTAAACTCCAGATCGGTAGGAACATAGAAATATATGTGGATGACATGATAGTCACCAGTGTGCGAGCTGAGGACCATATAGCCGACCTGAGTGAGACGTTTCAAAACTTGCACCGAGCCCAGATGAAGTTGAATCCCCTGAAGTGCACATTCGCTGTAGAATCAAGAAAATTCCTAGGGTACGTAGTATCCAAGAAAGGAATTGAAGTGAACCCAGAGAAGGTTCAAGCTGTTCAACAAATGGAGCCTCCTAAGACCGTAAAGGATGTGCAGCGCCTGACAGGTTGTGTAGCCGCGTTGCATAGGTTCATAGCCAGATCGGCAGAAAGGTGCCTCCCATTCTTTAAAGCCTTGCGAGAGCCAAAGAACTTTTAGTGGACCGAGGAGTGTCAACAGGCCTTTGACGAGCTCAAGCAATATCTGGCGTCAGCACCCCTGTTGTCTAAACCTGTGGAGGGGGAGAGTTTATACCTGTATCTGGGGGTCACAAAGGAGGTAATAAGTTCGATTTTGCTGAGGGAAGAGAATAAGCATCAGAAGCCTATCTGCTATGTGAGCAAGGTTTTACAAGGCGCCGAGCAAAACTACCCATTAGCGAAAAAGGCTGTTTTTGCCCTGGTTTACACAGCTCGTAAGTTGAGAGCTTACTTCCAATCCCATCAAATTGTTGTCTATACTAATTTGCCGTTGAGGAAGATATTGCAGAAACCAGAACTCTTTGGTCGGCTTATCGGATGGAGCGTCGAGCTGAGTGAGTACGACCTCAAATTTCAGCTGTGCACAACCATAAAGGGCCAGGCTGTGGCAGACTTCCTAGTGGAGTGTATCTCGGCAACTGTGGAAGAAAAGGCAACCAAGCACCCAATCTGGGTCTTGTATGTTGATGGAGCTACTAACATTGAAGGATCGGGTGTTGGGGCTGTGTTACTAAGTCCAGACGGTTTTAAATTCGAGCATGCATTAAGATTTAAATTTCAGACTACTAATAATGCTGCGGAATATGAAGCCCTCATTTATGGCTTGAAGTTGGCGTCCGAGCTGAAAGTGCAAAGTATTAAGGTGTTCAGTGATTCTCAGCTCGTGGTGGGCCAATTGAATGGCAGCTGTGAAATCAGGGTTCCTCAACTTGGTCGCTATGCCTCTGTGGTCAACAGATTGAAGTCGAGATTTGCCTCCTTCTAGTTCGACAAGATACCCAGAGCAGATAACCAACGAGCTGACAAGCTGTTAAAATTAGCCTCCTTGCAAGATATCAACCCTCATAGGTCAACAATTGTGGAAGTACTTGATGCTCCGAGCTACACCGATTTCACAATTGAGTGTCAGCTGCTCAGAACAGAGCCCTCTTCACCGAGCTGGACTACCCCGCTCATAGATTATCTGCATAGTGGCGAGCTGCCTGAAGATCCATTCGCTGCAAAGTTGATTAAACGCAGGGTGGCTCATTTCATTTTGTTAGATAATCAGCTCTACAAACGAGCAACCTTAATGTCCCTATTACGCTGCTTCACTCCTTATAAAGCTGAATACAACTTGGGCTGTAAATAATGGGCCTAGGCTGATCCCCATTAGCCCAAAAGAATGGAGCACCGGTACAACAAGTACACACATACCCACGTGGACAGCGCCACGTGGGCCAATCAGATGCTTACATGTACCAATGCATGTTAGCACTTGGGGCTATAAATATCCCCCAACTACCTCTAGTGAAGGTAATTAATCTCTACGTTTCTCTCTCTGCAATTACTCCTTGAGAGCATCTCTCTCTAAAATATCGAGTATTGCTGACCTGAGCGTCGGAGTGTTTTCCCTGAGGAAACATCCTCGGGATTTTCAGGTGTAGAAGCAGTTAAGGACTTTAACAGTGTTGGACTTTAACAGTGTTGGACTATGAAGCTGCCCAAACATTATTGTTATTAGGAAAAAAGAAATTGAATTATTGACAATTTTTTTAGATCATCAATAAAAATCGATTTAAATTTATGTCCAATATTAATGTCCGCACCCCTAACAGAGCGAGATATGAAAGAAAAATAATTGATTAGAAGATAATGTATATCATTCTCTGTTG